CGTTTCGGTTATTACTTATTTTAAATCATAAAACATCTTTTCCTTTTATTTATTAATTCAAAACGTGTTCGCAAATTCAATCTTACATTTCAAATATATCACGTTTTGTAATTAAGTTCGGATACAAAATTTGGAAACAATATTGGCGTAGAAAGGGCCATAAATTATTTTTCAACCATACATATTGTCTCCCACCAATCTCTTTCATTATCAAATTTGTTTTGAATTTAAAGATCACATAAATATTTCTTTTCTTATTTCATTTTTTCATTTTAAAGATCACTTGAATTCAATAGTTGAGTTAACAATGGATCTTCTATTTGAGAAGGAATCAATGGGGAGCTAACAATGTTTCTTTTATTTGATAATTGTGTCAACAATGTTTTATTTAATAATTATTTTTTTATATTCTTTTATTTGATAATTGAGTTAACTAACACCATATCTACATTATTTTTTTATATTCTTTTGTTTGATAATTGAGTTAACAATGTTTTCAAATCTTTTACGAAGATATGGTAATAAATTTCTTCACACTCCAAAATCTTGAATTGAATTCGTAACGGGATTCTAACACCATATGAACGGGATTTCTTCTATTTATTTATTTTGTTTATACTAAAATGCTAAACTCTTGTACTTTTTTTGTTCAAATAATTTTTTCATGCACCTGTGTAGTACATGGGTGTCGTACTANCTTACTCCAATTGAATGTTTTCATGACATTTGAATGAAACATTAATGATATTAACTAATTTTTTTGTATTATGTATGATTCTTATATTTCTCATTGTCTGGCATTGAATATTTATACTATTTTTATTTATTTTAATTTTTAAATTGAATATTCACATCTTTTAAACAAACACTTGATTTTTTTTTATTTATCACTCCTTTTTGTAATAATATCAATTTTTTTTATTCCAGTAGTGTTATAATTGACCCCATATTCATATAGGAAATAAATACTAATTTTATCTTTGATATCAAATAAACTAATATATACATTAGAAAATCAATGCAACAAAAACTTCCATAAAGGTTGCGCAAAAATAAATTATAAATATATTATAAAAATAGCATAAAATAGTATAATAGGTAAAATAACTTGTTATATTACGACCTTTTTTCAGATAACAAAAACATAACGACTTTTTCATTTTGGCAAATAATATTGTGACATTTGGTTTCTTTTCAAATGGATACACAAATTTCAGAAACCGGCCATCCTGCTTACTTGTCCGTCTAACCTTTTATTACATGGAATTAAAAATATGATTTGTAATTTTTTTTTACATGTAAAATGACGTGAAAATCTGTATAAACTAGTACAGTCCGTGCAATGCACGGGGGTCTGTTATCTCCGTCCCTTTTAAAAAGCAATTTTAAGTTAAAAATCTAAGTACTTACTAAAGGAAAGACTATGTCATTAATAATTAATAAATATAATGAAAATAAAATGTATATATTATTGAACATTGCCTTATATACAACGTTCATGGTTTGATTCTTTGGCACGTCATCGTCGCCACAAATTAGGATTTTCAAACCATTTATGTTTGTGACACGGGAGTCAGCAACATACATCTGGCCTCAAACTGTGCAGTTCTTTATGTTTTCCCTACACAATGTCCAAGGCATATTATGAGTTGCGAAAATAGATTTTAAACATTGATATTTTAATTTTTTACGATATTACATGCGTAAAACATTAAAATCGAAATATAATAGAAAAAATCATATAAACATTAGAATATAAAATATGAATATATAATGCTAAAGATTCTTACTCCAAATCCATAATAAAGAATACAATCATTTGGGTAGGAACTCCCTCGACAACCTTCATTTGAATAGGTTGTATTGAAACAACCAATCTAATAACATCTACAAAAATATAAGACAATGCATTATATTGAAATGTATATTGTATAATGTAGTTTATTAAAGGTTTTAACTTAAAAAGAAAATTGAAATAAGAAATAAAAAAAATTATAACGTACCGAATAATATGGCTTCATCAATATTATGAACATCCATTAAAGTTAGAAAGTTCCTAAAGTCAAAACCATACATAGGAGATTCACCCCTCCACTTGAGAATGTTGGTTTGGCTATTGATAATGATCTTCCAATTACCTATCGTCGATTTACAGATGCCAATATTATTTGATATCCATGATTACTCCAAAGTTCAGTGTCATTTTGAATGTATACAAAAAAACTTGTGAAAAAAAAAATGTTTTGTGGGATGTATTGGTTGTAGAATATTTTTGGTTCAATGTTGGTGATGGTTATATAGGCATTTGTGTATGTGACATATGCCCAGCACGGGAATTTAAAAATTGATTTACGTCAGGTTTTTAAGTTGAATAGGATTTATTTTCCTAAATAATGTGATTACGATCGACTTCAAAAAATATGTTTAACTGTTTTTGTTAAAAAAAAAGAACAAAAATAAAAAATGTGGAACTTGTTCCATGTGTCTCGGATTTTGTCGATTATTAAAGATTATGTGTCATATCAATGTAACATAATGTTTACCAAAATTAATGGAGTTTGTTACAATTTAATTTGGTAAGACTTTTTGGATTGATTGAAAAATAATATTTTACCAAAATCCGAGATTTATCATCCAAATCCGATCAAATTTGTTACCAAAATCCGATTAAATTGGTTGACTTGTGAAGCCCGTTGATATTGCTTATATTAGTAAGTCAACAATTAATTTTTTATTTTGAAGATTATGTGTTATATCAATGTAACATAATATTTACCAAAATTAATTTGTTACAATTTAATTTGGTAAGACTTTTTGGATTGATTGAAAAATAATATTTTTATTTTGATATGTATCATTTATCAAATCTCGAGATTTTTCTACAATATATAACTCCAAACAATCCGAAAAATTGTGAAATATGTTACCATAAGAAATCCCAAAGATTATCGACAATATACTGTCTAGTCGATGATTCAGGAGGAGTGAGAGTTTTGGGCAAATCAGATCAACGAACTGATGAATTACTTACGCTGCCTCTTCGAACTCTGACTCTCCTTCTGCCTCGTCTAAGGATACTGACTAAAGTCCTAAGCTAGCTAAAACATCCTATTTGAACAGCAAAGGCAGATCGAACTGTAAATAACTTTGAAGTGTGTTACCAAAAAAACCGATATTTTAAAATTTTTGTTATCAAAATCCGAGATTTGTTATCACAATCCAAGAATTGTTATCACAATCAGATCAAATTTGTTAACAAAATCCGAGATTTGTTACCAAGATCCGAGACTTGTTACGAAAATCCGATCAAATTTGTTACCAAAATCCAATGAAATGGTTGACATGTGCGGCCCATTGATAATGCTTATATTAGTAAGTCAATAATTAATTTTTTATTTTGAAGATTATGTGTCATATCAATGCGACATAATGTTTACCAAACTTAATTGAGTTTGTTAAAATTTAATTTGGTAAGACTTTTTGGATTTTTTCCGGAACGATAGAGATAACTATAAAACTCAAGAAAAGGATACAATGTTTAAGTACAAATCAAGACTGCGGAAATCAAAGACTGAGAGGACACGCATGCAAGCGGCCTAGAACCTCAACAACTCAAACCAAAAGATGAGACTAAGAAACTCCCCACTGCAATCAAGCCTAGGAAGCCATAGAAACATCAAGACAAAAACACAAACTAAAACCTAACCAGCAGCAAACTAAGGTACACATAAAGCACCTAAAGACATCAACCAAACAACCTGAAAAAAGAAGAAAAAACCACACTGCAAAGAAAAGAAACTGAGAAAACTGAATACAGAAGAAAACTAAGAAAGCTGCTAAGAGTTGGATGCTGCAATGAACTGTAGCCAGTCTTTGTGAGCTGTGTTGACAATATGGTGAGCCGGAATCCGAATGTCTTGGAAGAGCCAAAGGTTCCTGGATTTCCAGAGCCACCAAAGCATATAGGTTGTGAGTTGAATCCTAGCTTCAGATGTCTCTGATTTCTTGAGAGCACACACATCAAGCCACCAGCCTCTAAAACAGATAGGATGTTGTTGTTGATAGTTCCAAGATACAGGAGCCAAACCCCAAACACTGCAAGCATTAGGGCAGTGGAAAAGAACATGTTCAATGGTTTCAGGTGCAGTTCCACAGGATTTGCAGATGATATCAATGTCAAGTCCTTTCCTCCATAACTTTGTTTTTACAGGTAAAGTGCCATTTAAGCACTTCCAGATGAAGTGCTTAATTTTACCTGCAATTCTCAGTTTCCAGCACCTGGAGAGGCCTGAGCAAATGCTGCCTGAAGATGAACTGCAGCCAGGAATGTCTAGGGCTAGCAGCTTCTGGTTTGTGAGGAAGGTATATGTGCTTGCCACAGAAAAGATCCCTTTTTTGTCCAACTTCCAGTACTTCCTGTCAGGGTGCCCTGGTTTGAGTGTGTTGATAGTAAGAATTGAAGAGCAATCTCCAGGATCAAAGACCTGATTGATCAACCATGAGTTCCACCCTGTACCAGTATCATTGAAAAGGTCCTTAACCCATATTAGATGATCCCTGGCCAGCTCCATTAATTCTGGCTTGGGTTTGTGCAGATTTGGAACCCAATTCACATCAGCTATTCTTGTAGTTTCTCCATTTCTCACCTCTACAGCAAAGCCTTTGACAAATATAGGTATCACTTCTAGCCAGTTAGACCATAACCAAGAGCAATTATGAGTTTTTGTGGCTTCAAAAATGGAGCAATGAGGGTAGTACCTGTCTTTAAGGATCCTACTTACCAGCAGATCAGGATTAGTGGAGATCCTCCAAAGTTGTTTGCATATGAGGGCTGTGTTGAAGAGCTTGATGTCTAAGAAGCCCAGCCCACCTTTGTCTTTAGGTAGAGACATAGATGACCAGGACTTCCAGTGTATGCCTTT